GCGGTTCGTGAGTTCGAGCCCCGCGTCGGGCTCTGTGCTGACAGCTCAGAGCCTGGAGCCTGCTTTAGATTCTTTGTTTCTCTTTCTGTCCCTACCCTGCTTGCACTCTCTCTCTCTCAAAAATAAAGAAAGATTAAAAAAATAAAATACAATTAAATAAAATTAAACTATTCTATAATAAGATGTATTATATAAACCTGGCACTTGTAATTGGTATCCTTTTTTCGACTTTATTTACTTTTCTGTTTTGCTTTTATAGAACTTATCATAAAGATTTTGTGTTCCCAGCAGCTGAAAATCTAAGTCCTAAAAGACTTAGCTTGATGCAGGAGGGTGTGTGAGTGGAACCGTGACTGGGTACCCACTTTTCCCTCCCCGTGCACACATTCCTGCGTTCATTCCCGCAGAGGTGCGGATGATGCGACCCCTGCCCTACGACCCTAGATGTCGTGTACCCAGATATGCACTTCACATCATACCCTCAAAGTTAGTAAAGGATCTTATTAATTGATATCACTAAATTAATTTATTAGTGCAGGATTAATTAATTCATATTAAGTGTAAAATAAGTTTCTTCCCTTTCTTCCCATTTCTGAAATCGGAATGAAAATTGGCACCAGGGGACCTGGGACGGTGACCACCCTGGGCCGAGTCGTCTCTAGGGATTCATCGCTCCCTGGCCCCCCACCTTCCCTCTCTCCAGAATAGCTCCACAGCCCTCCTTGCCATTCTCTTCTACCCCTACCCTGGCCATCCTCCCTCCTCTCCTGTCCCTGGTGCCTCAGTTGCTCTTCTCCCCACTGGGCTGAGGCTGCTGGCTTGGACAGAGGCTGTCCCTCCACAGGCGGTAGGCGATGGAAGCGGTCACGGTGAGCCAGGCCAGGTAAGGCAGCAGGAGCACGGCAGCCAGCTTGTTGACGGGATGCCAGATCAACGCTGTGCTCACCACCAGCCCATAGAGCAGCAGCAGGTGCAGCAGGGCCTGGGGGGGGGGGGGGTGGGAGTGAGCAGTGGGGTCAGGGCAGTCAGGCAGGCTGCCCTGAGAACTGAGCCCTCAACCTTTCTGCACTCCAGACCCAGTGAGCCAAGTTCCTGAGGTCTGGGCATTCGGCCGGAGCTCAGAGAAGTGTGCCCACCCATTACCTGCCTGTCCTGCATTGGTCTCTTGTGCTATCTGCTCTGGGGGCCCCAGTCGTCTCACCTGCTCCTACGCTACTTCCACTGACGAACACGGCGTGCCTTACCAGACCATGGGTGCGGGCTACGAAAAAGAGAATCAGGACAGTCCAGCTGATGGCAAGCTGCACAGCATAGAGGCCAAGAGGCAGGACCAGGGGCCTCCCAAAGCCCCCTCCCAGGTCCTTCCACACCAGGTAGGAGGCATAGCTGCAGAGAGATGGTGGCAGGACACTCAGAGGGAGGGTGTTCCATGGCAAAGGAAGGGAGCCCTTGGGCATAAGGTCTCTTGGTTTCCCAAAGGAAACCCTGTGGGCTGCTAGGGGTACAAGAGTGTCAATGCATCACTTGAGGGCCAGCGAGGAGGTGGTGGGGGGAGCCGGGCATGGTGAGGTGGGGGAGGCAATGGGGAAACTTGGAGAGGGGGAAGAAGAAGGCTGGCTGGAATCCTAGGCAGGTGCAGAGGGGACCCCCTCCCCCCACCCCACTTAAGCGTTCAGATGGCGCGTGCTATCCCTGTGGAGACCAGGATACAGCAGTAGCTCGGGCACAGGGCCCATGGTATGCGAAATGGGTGCTCACCCGATGACGAAGTAGATGGTTATCCACCCTGCCATCAAGACCTTGTGGGGTGGGCACCAGGGTGGCTTCTTTGGGCTGTCGTACCAACCAGACGTTCGACGGGTGAGCAACCAGACCAGGATGGGCCCCAGGTGGGGAAGAGCCACGAAGATGGTTCCTTGAGGCTGCATTCTCCTCACGGAGACCAAATCTAGGACGGCAGATGACACACTGGTGATGGGCCTCCCCCTCAGTCCTTTCCCTGTGTCTGCTTGCCTGTCTCCACCTCCTACCCGATGCTATTTCCTGGCCAGAGCCCCCTCACGGGACGTCTAGTCACAGAGGCCATTCTCCCCACCTTGGGCCAGCTCCCGTCGGCTCCTGTGAGCCCACACCGGGCCCTTTCTCTGGCTTCAGTGGACTTGTTTTTTCCACACCACTCATCTGGCACACAGAGGATACCGTCCCGTATTGATAACCGCTTCTGAGTGAAAGGCTCCCTTCCCCCAGCACGTATCTGACTCCTAGAGTTCAGGTCCATGTATGACCGTCCCTCCTGCCTCCCATAGTGGGTGGCACTCGGTCAGGTACACAGCAGGCCCTTCACAGGGATGGTGCCTTAATACTGAACTCAGTCAAGCTGATGTAACCAACTATGTTCAGAAAGGCAGGAGCCAGGGATCCCTGGGGGTCTTTACGAGTCAAGAACCGGCCAGCCCATCCGCCCCCAGGCTTATCTCGATATACCAGACTGGCAGACTTGGGGAGGCCCACCCAGCCTGAGCTGCTGCTCGAATTCGCACTCAGCCGAGTGACACCGGGCTCCTTTCTCTGAAGGTTTCCGTCTCGCCTGCCCTTCAGGGGCTGGGGAGGTCCCTCCTCCACCTCTCCCCTTCCAGAGGGACGGGAGCCACAAACATAAGCGCCCAGCTTTCCTGTGGCCTGACATCTCAAGGAAGCAACGGCCTGGTCTTTGAAAAGCTGCCATACTCATTTGAATATGGAGTTGTGCACAGACCCTCCTCCAGCCAAGACCTCCATCCATATCATTCTCAGTGTCCTGGAGTGACTGCCTACTCCATCTTTTCCTGTCAAGGGCCCCTGTCCATGTCCTGGAGGTTCCGGACACAGGGCTGACTAGCCCGCCCACCTGTGCATCTCTATTTTTATTCCTCTGGTCCTCACTGTCCATTTGTTCATCTTCTGCCTTCCTGTCTCTTGCTGTCTCCCTCTTTCTGTTTTTCTGTTCAGTGCTGGAGGTGCCTCCCGCACCCTCCCCCATCAGGAGAAATCCTGTTCTCCACCCTCCCGATGCCTCCTCATTCCCAGGCCTGTGTTCCCCTTACCTCAGGCAGCACACTTCTCAGGCCAAGCGCTCGATGCTATATGTTGTGTGCAAGGCAGAGGAGGGTGGGGGATGGGAGAAGGGCGGAGTGAGGCTCCCATCTGGTCTGCCTTTCTCCAATGACAGGGTGGTGGCATTGGCTGGGGTGTATGGAAGGCTGGCTGCCTGCATGGTCCTGAAGGGTTTCATTTAGCAGAGCCCCCGCTGGTCTACTAGACTTGGCCTCTGGAGTGGTCCCCTTGATGGAAGGGTTGAGGCTTTGGCTCTGTGACACCCGGACTTCTGGGCGGGCTCAGCCTCAGGCTACAAGACTTTTGAAACCTGTGGTGTGCACATTCCATGAGCTGGCTTTGTGTCCACGGGTGGTGCAGACCCTCAGATTTCCCCAGGACTTTCCTGTAACTGGGATTATCCCCAAGGGGGGCAAGCATCAGCTTTGGAAAGGAGTTTATGATATATGGACACAGGTTATAGCCTAGTTGGCATGGGCCTTCCCCTCTCAGAACTCGAGCTTGACGGATTTTCACAAATCCCTACAACTTCATGACTCAGAGGAGAAAGCAGCCTCCTGTGTGACTCAGACAGAGCTTTGTCCAGCCAAGACTAACACCTACCCTTTTCATACCTATAAAATTCCAAGCACCTCTCCTTTGCTAGTCCTTTACTCATGAGGTCCCCTTCCCAGGTTGGCTGCTCGCCGTTGCTCCTTTGCCCCATCTCTCCACTCTGGGGACCTGGGCACCCCTGGGAGGAGTTTACCCCATCCTCTCTCTTCTACCTTGGGGAAGGTGGTGGAGGGGAGGGGGTTGCAGTAGGGGACAGGAGGCTGGAGAATCATTAACTGAGATGAAATCAGTGGCGGTTACTTATTTTCTATGAGATAATTGGGGCAGGGTTGTGCTGGGGAGCTCACCATGATCCCCAACTGCAGGAGGCCAGCCCTCGGTGACAAGAGTTGCCGCTCATGGAGCACCCATTTTGGGGCGAGCATTTTACAGTTATTAGCTCAATAATGACCATGTTTATTCCTCACGAGGTAGATATTATTGCCTGCATTTGACAAACAATGGAAAGGAGGCTCAGAGGGGTTGGGTAACTTGCCTAAGATTATACAGTGGACGAGTCACCTGTGTTCAGTGTCAGTAGACTGGCCCCAAAACACATTCTCTTTGAGCTGGTCTACACATTCATTCCACAAGTCTGCCTTTGTTTTCTTTCTTTCTTTCTTTCAAGTTCATTTATTTATTTTGAGAGAGATTGAGAGAGAGACAGAGCACACGAGCAGGGGAGGGGCAGAGAGAGAATCCCAAGCAGGGGCCGCACTTACCAGCGCAGAGCCCGATACAGGGCTCGAACTCATGAACCATGAGATCATGAGCTGAGCTGAAGTCAAGAGCCAGAGGCTTAACTGAGCCACCCAGGAGCCCCTCAACAAGTCTTTCTTAAATACCTGCTATGGACCAGGCTGTACCAGGAGCTAAGAGTACTAGAGCAAACAGCTGAAAACAACAACAACAACAACAACAATAACAAAAATCTATCCATCTTCACAGGGATCCTTCATTCCAGTGGCACTATCTTTCCCAGGCAGAATTTCTATGAAAGGACTCAGGTTGGCAAATAGCCCAAAGACAGCTCTCCCCCAAGTGCAGTGTCCCTGCCAACTCTGAGTGTGGGCAGGGAGCAGATAGGGGAACACCCAGTGCTGCCAGCACCTTGTGAGTCGTTAACCCTCTCAGTGCCTCCTCTGTCATCTCTGTGCAGGAAAGGGTGGAACTAGACAAGGTCTAAGCTCCTGGACCAGCGGCATTGGCATCACCTGGGAGCTTTTTAGAGATGCAGAATCTCGGGCTCTGGCTCAGACCTATGGGATCGGGACCCACGTTTTAACCCAATGCCTCATGTGGTTTGTGTGCACACTATAGTTTGAGAAGCTCCTGTTAGGGGTCCCTCCTCTTACCTTCTGCCGGCTGTCAGTTCAATAGCCTCTGGCTGGGGCAGCCACTCACCAGCAGAGGGCATTGTAGGGAGGGGTTCACCTGTCCCCAGGTTTTCTCTTTCTCTGTCTCCTCCCTCCCAGACCCAGACTATTAAGACCTCTGACTTCTGGGATCCTCAGCTACTCCACTCCCCTGCCTTGGCTGGACTTTGCCAATAGACAGGGACAGATTCCCCCACCCCTCTTTAGGTCACTGGGAGGGAGGACTTTGCCGGGAAGCTCCGGGCCACTCCTGCCCGGATTCCCCGCCCACCTCCACTTGTCTGCTGACCCGGTGACAGAGTCTGACTGACTGCTCTGTCTCCAGACAAGGAACTGCTATTCCTGGATGAGCAGGGGGGCCTCTGGGAGCACCCACACAGTAAGGTGAGCACCCCTTGGGGCAGATAGACATGGGGTGGGCATTGCAATGGAGCCATCTGGGGTACAGGGGAGGAGCCAGGCCATCTGAGCCAGCCCTGCCAGTGTGGAGAGCCTCCACTGGAGGAGGAGGGGGGAGAGGGCAAATGTCCAGTGGGCGTGAGGACCCGAGAGGTAGTTGTATGCACTATGGAAATGTATACTACGCTGAAAGAATGTTGCCCGTGACAGGTTTGGACTCATCCATCCTGGTACTTTTTACATGCTTCAATAACGAGATCTATCAGGGCTTGAGTGGGCATGGTAAAAGCCAGTGATGTGGGAGAAGGGTTGAGAATTTCCTCGAAGGACGTGAGAAAAGCTTTGCAGCAGGAGCCCAGATCTTCGTGCTGGAGGAGGCAACTCCCTAGAGACAGGTGAGGGCAGCATTCTAAAGGACCCTTATCTTGGGGACCTGCTACCTGGGATGAGCTGGGGGCAGGAGCAAGACAAACTGGAGACACGGGTACTAAGGAGTCAGGGGGTTGGGAAGGTCCAGGCTACATCTAGCTGGTTACCCTGCTGCAGACTCAGGCCTACCTCCTCTTGGGGTTAGGGGGCCGATGGAGTGAGGGCCTAGCAGCTTGGAGAGCTATGAGCCTGGGGGAAAGGTGGCTGAGCTGGGGGAGAGTTAATGAGTGGGCTTCCCATGAGAGGCCCCTCTAGGCTTTAGGGAGGAATATGCCAACTCTTCCAGGTTGGCAGGCTGGACAAGGAGATTCTGCTGCGTCACCCAATGGGGTGGAGGGGGTTTGGACTCTGGTCCTTGGAGGCTCCAGGAAGGTTGTTGCTACAGAAACAAAGCAGAGTCCCTCTTTTCTTTCATGCTAGCTAGCCCATCACCTGCCACGGGTGCCTTTGTGGGCAGGGGGCGGTAGGGGTATCGCTCCCTATGGAGCCGAGGTTATACCGTTCGGTGTTTTTATTTATTTTTACTTTATTTGTGTTTCTTGCTCTTGCAACTTCCTGTCATCTCGAAGTGCAAAGGAAGAGAGACCCTGGGGAAAAAGAAGGGGCCTGGAGAGAGAGGTAGTGTTTCTGGAACACCGCTGTCATCCCTGTTCATCCTTCCCTCTGCCTTCACTTGTAGCTTAATAACCCCTCATACATCCTCACCGTGGGGAGAAAACTTGGCTTCCTTATCTATGACATGGAGATAAAAATAACACCTAGCTCACAGACCACTGTGAGGATCAAATGAGTTAGGCCCCACAGAGCGCTCTAACACGGTGGCGTAGAGCAAAGCTCCATAAAAGTTAGCTGTTACTAGCGCAGTTATAATTCCAATTATCTTTAATGTCAAAGAACCAAAAGGAACGGATGCACCATAAAGGGAGGCTGACTGCTCCAACCCCCCTTTCCCACCAGATGGGGGGGGGGGTCCTGCCAGCTCGTCCACTTGACTTGTGTGCCCTGCAAGAGGCTTGGCTGGGGCACTTTTTCTGCAGGGTTGAGTTTTAAGGCAAAAGGAACAACGTCACACCTTCCTCCCTGGCTACGTTTTCAATGAGGACACGGGTGTGGGGCGGCGGGGAATAGATCCCACCCCAGTCCTAAGCCTGAGGATACAGATGAATTTCTTCCCCTGTCTGGGAGAACCTAAGGAAAGGGGCTTGGGTTTTGTGGGCCCTGAGGAAGGAAGGAAGAAAGAGGGCAAGGGAGGAGCTGGTGGTGTCTTGGGGCAAGGCCTGAGCGCCGGGTCTGGGTGTGAGTGAAGGGGCTGGAGACGAATGGATGCCAGAAGCCTTTCTAGCGCAGACCCTAGTGAATCAACCCCGGGGATCCCGAGGACTTTGAAAGAGGCCATATATCTTACAGAACTCAGCGGCAGAGTGAATGAGTCACATTCCCTCAGAAGCTCCGCGTAAGACGTCATCTTTGTCACGACTGAACTTCCCGCAGTGTGTGCTCCACGTGTTCTGAGCACCAGCCCGGAGGGGGTGGGAAAACCACGCGTGACAGCATGTAGTCAAGGGTTGCTCAATAAGGTGGGATGACAGCAGGGAGAAACTTCCGAGGGGTGAGACTGTCAAGGGTGGGTCAGCCCGGGGGGGGGGGGAGGTGCTGTGGAGCAGGAGGGGGGTCCAGGTGGGTGGAAGAGGCAGGTGGGGAGAAGAGCGGGAGGGAGCAAGGGCCAAGAGGTTGGAACTAGACAGGTGGGAGGCGCACAGCCTGGCAGGAGTGCAGGGTGCTGGAAATCAAGGGAGGAAGCGGGAAAGTATGAGCGAGAGGTGGTAGACCCTGGAGGACCCCCCGAAGGAAGGTGTGGCATCCTTATGGGGGAGGCTGCTGGAAGGGCCAGGTTCCAGTCTGAGGCCCCCCGCTGGTAACCAGGTGAGCAGGCAGTGTGTGCTTTGGCCTGGCCTCAGTCCAGTCTCACTGGAGGCTCCCACTTGTGTTTTTCTTTCTCTTTTTGCCTCCACTTTTGACTTTGTTACCCCTATCATATTCCCCCCCCCCCGGGGCCCCCCTCCCCCCCTTCCGGGCCCCAGGGGTGGGGGGGGGGGGTGGAGGGTGGAGGCATGAAGAAAGAAAACTATTTGGGCCAGTGCTTTGTCATCTACAAATGCTTTTCACGTGATCTCGTGCTATCCTCACAATCGCTCTGCTCTCAGAGGTAATTATTTTTTTGCTTTGGTTAGCTCTTAAAAAGAATGACCAAGTTAATATAAAAGGCTTGCGGTGGAAAATTCAAATACAGAAGAAAAGAGTTCGAGAAAATGGACGGTCCTACTTTCCACCTTCCACCCTCTCAATTTCCTGTCTCTTTCAGTAGTGATGGGTGGGAATAGTTTGGGGGGTGTATCCTCTCTCAGCCCTGCGTTGCCCTAGACAGGAGTCACCAGCATGTGTGGCTGCTGAGCACATGAACTAGAGTACGTCCCAACTGCGATGTGCTGGAAGTGTAAAATACACAGGGATTTCAGAGACCTAGTATGAAAACAGAATGAAAACTAATGCAATAATTTTGTATTGATTTCCTCTCAAAATGATGATGTTTTGAATATATTGGGTTACATAAAATCTATTATTAAAATTAACTCCTCCTAGTTTTTTCTTTTTGGCCTTTTTAATGTCCCTAGAAAGTTTAAAATTACATTTGTGGCTTACATCGTTTTTACTGCATAGCACTGCCCCAGACCTTTCTCCGTAATTGACATGTATACACCCATAAATATGTATCTATACTTGTATATAGTTCTGCTACCTACATTAACGAGATCGGAGGATGTCTACTTCTCCGTAACTTGCTTTCCCCCTTAAAGATTTTTCTGTAAAGATCAAGATGGATATTCTGACATATGCAGAAACTACGGCACATTAAGCAATACGGCAAACTCTCTCAGCCAGTGACCAAGGCGGCGTTTGAATTTACATCATGTAACTCCAAACCCAAGCTCTTTCTGCCTCAGAGGAGTCTAATTTGACATAATAGGCCATGGGGAGCGACGGGAGGTTCTTGAGTAAGATGCAGATAGGTGAGGTCCCGTTAAAGGATTTGATGGAGGAGTCACTACAATGAAGACAATTTGCTCCCTCATCGCAGCCACTTGGGGGCCAAGTCTTGGCCTCCATGATGTTACAAAGGTTTACCTGGCACTGACCTCTTTTGTCCTCCAGGTTCTTGGCTTTGGCTGGCACAGGGGTGCACGGGGGCTGGCAGCATCAAATGACCAGGTGGATGTGCTCCCATGAGTGCTCCTTCCAACCTGCCCAGTTCCTACTGCTGGTGGGGGTCCCGGTGGCGAGTGCCCTCCTTCTGGTCCAGTGCCTCCGATGGCACTGTCCTCGCTGGCTGCTGGGGGCCTTTTGGAAGCTGGATAACCAAGAGGAGCCAGTGTCCCATCCCACTCCTCTACCAGAAAATGAGTCCCCAAGGCAGTGCCCGCCAGCCACACTGCCGGAAATGGCTGCCTTCTACCAGGAACTGCATACACCCACTCAAGGCCAGACCGTCGTCCGTCAGCTGATGCACAAGCTGTTGGTGTTTTCGGCTCGAGAGGTGGATCACCGCGGTGGCTGCCTGATGCTCCGGGATATGGGCATCTCTCTGCTCATCCCGCCAGGTAACAGCACCCTCTCCCTTGTCAGCGTATAGTTGTTTGTTGCGCATTGTACAAGGGCATCGCGCCTAAGGGAGCATCACTCGTAGACATCGCCATAATTTTGAAAATTGTTTATATTTTTAGTATGGCTTTATTGACTCCAAAGATGGATAGATTACATATTTTTATGACAGCTTCCTGACAGGTGGAAGTAGAGTGCCTGGTAGTAACGAACGGTGTGTTATGACAATTCTCCATCAAGGAGAGTGTCTGGAGCAAGAGCACCTTTTGCAAATTTGCAAACTCCCACAGGCCCCCACTGGGCTGGCGGCATCCCTGGAAGGAAGGAGGGTGGCTTGCTGAGGTTTACACCGCAAGCCGGCTCACAGTCTTTCTCTCCTTCCACACTGCCTCGCCCAGTGCCCTGCGAGGCACCCTCTCTCTTTGGCTCCTGTCCCACCTCCCCTCCCGCTGTGGCCTGGCCCATTCTGGGGTGGCGGGGTGCCTGCCTGCCAGGCCTGTCTCAACGCTTATTCTCCCCAGGTGCTGTGGCTGTGGGCCGCCAGGAGCGGGTATCGCTGATCCTGGTGTGGGACTTGTTGGATGCCCCGTCGTTGTCCCGAGCCCAGGGGCTGGTGAGCCCTGTGGTAGCATGTGGCCCCCACGGGGCCTCCTTCCTGCAGCCTTGCACCCTCACGTTCAAGCACTGTGCCCAGCAGCCCCGCCATGCACGCACTTACAGCAGCAACACGACCCTGCTCGATGCCAAGGTCTGGAGGCCCCTAGGGCAGCCAGGGGCCCACACGTCCAGGGACGAGTGTCGCATCCGCCTCTCTCACTTCAGGTAGGCCTGTCGGCCCAGTCTTCCTGCCTGCGTTCTCTGTCTGCCTCACCCCCATCTCTCTGTATGGAATTGCCCCTTGATCTGTTCCAGATGCCCCACAAATCCCTTATCGCCCGGTGTCCCTTCCTGGTCCCTCTGTCCTAGTGGGTAGGGCAGCTTGTCTCACTCAAACCCTGTCCAGGATTAGCAACCTGCTGTAGTTTCTCTGCCTGCCTGCAACCACAACCCCAGCCCTCCGTCTGGAAGGGGCCTGACCCATCCCCACCTTTGTCTCTCTAAAACTGTTTCTACCCGGTGCCCCTGTTCAAGACTGTCCCTGAACTGTCCAGGGGCCGCCTGTCCTCTCCGGTTTTCGAAGACCCCCTCCCATCGCACGTCTGTCCTCAGCTCTGTCTTTCTAGAACCACCGGCCCTTCTGCCGCTCCTTCCCCCCCCCCTGCGCAGAGCAGGGCCAGCTGTGTGTGTGGGTCCCCTGGGAAGCATAGTGGCCCTGGAGCCCACCTCTCCTCTCTCTCGTGCTGGAGGACGCTTGATGGCTCTTCTCCCCATTCGGTGATGCTCCCCATCAAAAGTGACCTGACTCACTTTTAATCCCCCCACCTGCCTGACTCCTTGCCACTTCCTCCCTGTCCATGCCCCACGCCGCTCTCCTTGGATCCTCGCGCAGGAGGAGCCTGGCGGCAGGTGCACCAGGGTCCCAGCCTCTCCTGTCACCGTCTTTCTCTGCAGCCTCTACACCTGTGTGCTGGAGGCGCCTGCGGGCCGGGAAGCCCGCAAATGGCTGCAGCTGGCTGTGTTCTGCTCGCCGTTGGTGCCAGGACAGTCCCACCTGCAGCTGCGCATCTACTTTCTCAACAACACGCCCTGCGCCCTGCAGTGGGCCATGGCCAACGAGCAGCCCCACGGTGGGCGCCTGCGCGGGCCCTGCCAGCTCTTCGACTTCACGGGGGCCCGAGGGGACCAGTGCCTGAAGCTCAAGTACATCTCTGAGGGTGAGGGAGGGGGCTTCGGGGGGGGGCACTAGAGGGAGGGGTCTGGACCTCCCCCTGGGTAGAAATCTGGGACCCTCAATGTTCTTTCGGAGACTCCTGGGCAGGCAACAGCTTCCAGGGGACCCCTGGTTTCTGTGGCTGCCTCCAGGAGCCCCAGGCTTTGCCCACTCCCACCCTCTGTGGCCCATTCAGCCCTGGCCCCTCCATGGGAGGATAGGATGATCCAGGGGTGGGGGAAGGGGAGGGGAGGCTTTTATTGTCCCACCTGGCTGGGGGCCCGGTATCTAAGGAGGAGTCCTAGTCTTCTCTGCCCTCCTTCCTCTGTGGCACCTGCTGGTGCACTTGCTCATGGGGCCTGGGATGTCTGTGTGGTTTGTGGACAGATGCGTGGCTGCTCGGTGGGAGGCGGGAGGCCTGTGCGCTGTGTGCGTGTGGGAGGTGTGTGGTGCTAGGGAAGGCTGCTCGCAGGGTCCTGGCCAGGCTCTGAGGACTCCCATCCACTTGAGACCCCCTCCTGCTTTCGCTCCCTACTCATCCCTCCCCACAGTACCCTGCACAGAATAGGACTCCTCCAAACACTTGTGGAGGACTCCACTTTCTGAGGCCCTCCGCTCTGCCTCCTCCCCAGGTTGGGAGAACGTGGATGAGAGCAGTTGCCAGCTGGTTCCCCATCTCCACATCTGGCATGGGAAGTGCCCCTTCCGTTCCTTCTGCTTCCGGAGGAAAGCAGGTAGTTCAGGGGCCCTGTCCCCGCCCCGCCCCTTCCCCTCGCCCCTCTGTGGCTCCCCATTTGGTCAGGCCTCCGTGCAGACCTTCTCTAAAAGGCGAGGAGCCACAACTGATCTTTGAGGAGAGAAAGATGGAAGGTCCTGCCCAATGTCTTCAGATTTCCAAAGCCTTCCTGTGGAGTCCCTTTCACTTCCCCTGCTGTCTTGCACTGGGCCTTTCCCTCTCATGCCTGCCATGTCCTCTCCTCTTTGTAGCCAATGAGAATGAGGACTGCTCAGCGCTTACCAATGAGATCATTGTCACCATGCATACCTTCCAGGACGTGAGTTGGAGCTGAGGGGCAGAGGGGAAGGGCAGGGCCTGGAGGAGTCCTGGGCAAAGTGGGCGAGGGGTCTGGTGCCTAGTAAGTATGGCCCCAATCACATAATTCAGCAGGTGGTTGGCATTCTTCCAGGGGCTTAGACCCCCTGGCCTCCAAGCTACCCTCTATTCCCTGACTCTCTCTTGTCTATCCATGTATGAATCCAGCAGGAGGGTAAAAGAACCAAACCCTGGATGAACCTCTTCTCTTGGCCCAGAGGGACTTGGGCATCCAGGAGAAGTGGTTTCTTTCTAGGCTGAGTATATGCATCTGAGAGATGATGTTGTGTATCTTCAGTGAGAAGAGCGACCAGGGAGAGGATCTCGAGTAGGTGGGATGGGAGTTAAAACCTTCCGAAGGGGGAAGGTTTGAAGAAGTCAGGGTTGAGAATCTTTGGGGAACCATGGTGGTATCTTGGTGGAGAGTAAGCAGATAGCTCTCAGGTTGTCCCCTGCAAGGAGGAACCAAGGGCTGGTGGGGGGGGGGGGGAAGGAGACACATGTGCCTGAGTTTAGGGTCCCTATTTTTGGAATAGGGGACATGCCCTATGACCTCACCCAGACTTCTCCTGGTATGTTAGGATGCACCATGTTTGGTCTTCATGTCTCAGCTCCCAAAGAACTCAGTAGGGAAACTTAAAGGTGAAAGTTCTGGGGCCAGGGAAGCAGAGGGTAGGGGGTCCTGATGTCTCCTGGTAAAGTAGCTCTGGACATGGGGAATGGAGGCAGGTTCCCTAGTTTCATTCAGGGGATGTCTCATGATGCCTAAACGGGTTCCCTGACCCTCTGTTGGCTCAGGGCATGGAGACCAAGTACATGGAAATCCTCAGATTCCAGGCATCAGAGGAAGAATCCTGGGCGGTGCCACCCCCTGCCTCTCAGCCACCCCCATGCAACAGGTGAGGTGGGGTGGCCTGGGCTGCTGGCTGGGGGACTTTTGAGATTCCTGCCCCAGTGCCCACAGAGGGCGCATACACAATTCAGGGTGTGTGTGTGGAACGGACGGGGTTTCTCTGGTCCCCCTCTCTGAGGACCCCCTCTGCCCCAGGCTGCCTCCAGAGCTCTTTGAGCAGCTGCAAATGTTGTTGGAGCCAAACAGCATCACGGGCAATGACTGGCGTCGACTGGCCTCCCACTTGGGGCTCTGCGGCATGAAAATCCGGTAAGAAGAGTGGGGTCTGCGCATGGGAGAGGAGGGTGAACTGGGGTCGGGGGCTGTCAGGACACCTTGAGGACTGCAGCACAGATAAGGAAGCAACTTAAAAGTCCGAGAATGGCTACTCCCCACCCCGTTCCCCATGATAGAGCAGCTCTATTTATTACTGTATCCTCAGTACCTAGAATGATGCCTTGGCCCATAAGTAGGTGCCCAATAAATATTTAAAAATGAATCAATTAACGCATAAGTCATTGGGTACATACTGAGTGCTGGACATGCTGTGCCCTGAGGGGTAGAATGCACACCGTAAGGTAATGTGTATAAAGCATGTAGCTGAGTGCCTGGCACCTGTTAATTCAATACATGTTAGTAGTAATGGGGGCAGGGGGCAATGCAACCGTGGTCTCTGTCAACAGCAATCAGTAGGAGAACAATTCTGAGCTAAGCTCCAGAACCCAGACTGTGAGTGTGGTGGTCAGGAAGGACTTCACCCGGGAGATGGGACTAGGACTGGACCCAGCTGAAAGCAAAGTGGGTTTAAAAATCACCTACCTATTGCATGTTTATCAAGTACCCATCTGTGTGGAGGCAAGAGCACCACTGTTTGTGAGTGTGCTGTGTGCAAGGTGGGAAGGGGATGGGCCCACAGAAGGATGGGGGCTGGGAGAAAAGGTCAGAAGAAAAGGGCAACGCCAAGCTATGGATGAGCCCGGGGGTCTGGAGTATGGGTTTGGTGGGTACTGGAAAGAGACCCCGAAAGGTTTTTGAGCAGGGGAGGGAAGCCTGGTTTCCAGCAGCTGTTTCCCCGAGTGGTGGGCAGGATGTGGTGGCCTGGGAGAGAGGGAGGGGGAGGGGAAATGGAGGAGGCAATGACAGACCATGTGAGCTGGAGGCAATTCTCTCCTCCGAGCCCTCGGTGGAGGAGGAGGAGACTGGGGCCTAGAGAGAAGTAGCCTTTGAGCCAGGACAAGCTCCGATCTCAAGGACCGGGGCCCTCCCACCACCCAGGTGCCCTGGAAGGCAGGCAAGAGCAGGATGAGGGCCAGAGCTGGAGGGCGGGAGGGGGGGGGGGGAGGGGTGGATCTGGCTCCAGTGCATCGCCCATCCCCCATCCCGCCAGGTTCCTGTCCTGCCAGCGCAGCCCAGCCGCAGCCATCCTGGAGCTGTTTGAGGAGCAGAACGGCAGCCTGCAGGAGCTGCACTACCTCATGACCGTCATGGAGCGGCTGGACTGCGCCTCGGCCATCCAGAACTACCTGAGCGGGACGCACGGCGGCGGGGGCGCCCAGGAGAACCAGGGCTTGGAACTGGACGAGAAGCTCTGAGCGCTCCCAGGGGGCACGGCGGGGACCTCCTCGCAGCACTCTGGGCACCTGGGGGGCCCCGACACCGAGGGAGAGCGCGGCAGCTGCTTCTGGCCGCGCCCACCGACCTCATCAGAACCCTCAGACGGTGGTGAGACCAGGGGCGCGATCCTAGAGACCAGCTTCGTGCTGCGAACGGGTCCCATCCTGGTCGGCAGGGGGCGCAGGAGCCCAGGAGATGGCCCTGGCATGGCCAGCCTCCAGGAAGCTGTTGCATAGACCCAGTGGACGGTTAGGCTGCCCTGTCGGCACTCCTTGGGGACTGGCCAGTTCACAAGGATTCGCTGCGCGCTTAGTGATACTCCGCATCGGACTGGGTATCACGGGGAATCCTGGCGTGGAGGAAATGGGGCTTGGAGCTTGACAAACCCACAGTTCTCTTGTGGGAGTCAAGATGCCCTCATGGATGAGAGGCTATTTCCAAAACAGCAGTGCCCTGGGGTTAGGGGATGTGGGCGTGCTTCAGGAGCTGAGACGGGAGGCAGCGGGGCGTGGGCTGGAGCAGGAGAAGGCTTCATGGAGGATGCTGGAGAAAGGGTTGGGATCAGCATAGAGTGGTTCAGCAGTCTTTGAGTGGGGATAGAGGGTGATGGTGGCTGGATTTACAGTAGGAGCCAAGAGTGAGCATGGGTGTGCGGGGAGGGTTCAAGGTCAGTCATGCCCAGCTGTCCACCTGTCTCCTTTGTCTTCCTTTGTGTCTCTCTCTTCCCATCCTTGCCTTGTCTTCCTTTCTTTCTGCCGTTATCTCTGTCATAAAACATCAATGCTGACAAGAAACTACAAGATTAACATTCGTGCCCAACCTTTTTACCTCTTTATCTGGAACTGTGTGAGTTTTCAGTGTCTCCGGTTCCATTTTGCTGTCACCATTTTCTGCAGTCTCTGCATCCCTGAATCTGTGTGTTAGTCTCTGTCTTAGCATCTCTTTGCCCCTACCGAGTCACTGGGCCTGCCTTTGAGGGTTTCCTTCACCCTCCGAAACCCTCAGTCATTCCTCTCAGGGCCAATGTCTCTGTATCAATTGTCTCTGGGCCAATGTCATGTATCAAAGGCAATGAAAGGACACTGGGCTACCCTAGGAATGGGGGTGGGGTGGGGATTTTACCCTGTGAATCAAGATCCAATTTAGGGTCAGGAAATAAACAATAGGGATTAAAGAACACGCCATTCAGTCAACAAATATTTATTCTGTGCCTACGATGTGTTAGACACTGTACAGAAAAGAGATCAGTGGGCTGGGTCCTGAAAAGAGAACAAAGGATTTGACTCCATTCTAGCAATGTTTTTGTTTGCAAACAGGTATTGTTAAATTTTTTTTTTAAGGGCAGGCAAGCAATCTCTCTACTAGCAATTTGCTTTTGTATTTAATGAAAAGATATTAAAGCTTTTTCTATGATAAACAATATTGTATAATAATAAAATACGAAAATTTCGTTTCTTTGTTGCTAACTGTATTTTGCTCAGATTGATAAATTTGGATGTGGGTATGAATGGTTTTATTTGTCAGATTATAGCAGTCGGGGCTGCTTAGAGGCAAGCATTTGGTAGATTGTGCTTCTGGTAGGCACATCGTCTAGGTTCAGCATGGTCAATCAGGGAGGGTCTCTTCCCTGTCTGTTAGAAGTGAACCTGCAGGGTGGGGCCCCTTCACCTCTTCCCTCTTGCTTGGTGTTCCACCCTTTTGGTTGGTGCCTCGGCCTTCCCCACTTCTTGGCTCAGAAGCAACTGTCTGTCCTGGAATCCGGGTAGGGCTTCCTCCTTTTCTCCCATGTCTCTTCCTTACTCTCCACGTCAGCCCAAGGCATCTTTATCTTGTGTTCCTCCCTACCCTGGAACAAATAATTTGAAGAGTTTCAAGTCTTCTGGTGCATCAAAGTCACGGGGGTTTCTGTGCTGGGACAGGATGCCTCTGGCCCCCGCTCTAATTCCTCAGAATGGGCTGGTACTTGCAGTGCCTGGAAAAAAGGAGCTTGGAAATCTACAGGTGGGTGGCAGGCGGCCCCATCCCTGGAGGGTGGATTCTTCCTTTCTTAAATCGGACCTGCTCGGTGTGTTTTTGCCAGCACCCAAAGCTGAGAGCTGGCGTGTTCCGGGGGGCGTTAGGAGACTTAGCGCTCAGTCCATGCTTGAGTGCCATTTAGCACAGCTCTCTCCGCTCTGGGTTCAGACTCTTCACCCGTGGATGAAGCGACCATGTTTGAGGCTCAGGGCCTCCTTTTGATTCCAAGGGCCTGTGCGGGGATGGCTCACTGGTGACCCAGGGATATCCACTTGGGGAATTTTTCTTTGTGTATGGCCTATAAATAGCGCAACCGGTCACCGCTTGTGGCCTTACCTCTGGCCCTTTTCCTAGTAGGCCACCTGCCTGGTTCCTAAAACACCAAACTCGTGACTTCTGCTCTCACGCATGTTGTAGGGCCCGTGCCTAAACTTCCTTCTTTTGGGTTTACAGCTGGCAGGGGAATGGGCTGCAAGGATTGGCCGGGTCTGCAGGGTTAGAGCCCCCAGTGCTCAGAGGTAAACTGTGTCCTCGACACCCCATCTGCCTGCTGAGTGACACTGACACCAAGGCACAGGTTTGTGCTGCCTGACAGAAAACTAATAGAAAGCCACATATTTAATTCTGTGTTTTCTAATAGTCACACATGAAAAAATGTAAAAGGAAACAGGTGAAATCAGTGTTAATAATATATTTTGTCTAACCTAACGTGTCCAGAATATTATAATTTCCACGTGTGATCAACATGAAAATATTAATGGCATATTTTGCATCCTTTTTTCCATAAAGTATTTGGAATCTGGTAGGTAGTTTACAATCACAGCGCATCTCGATGTGTATTGAACACGTGCTAAATTTTTGCTGGAAACATTTGATCTATATTTAGCCTTCAGAAAATCTGGTGCTGAAAAAGTACTTTTACATAACACGTTCAACAAGCTAAAAGTTTTCCAAAACTGGAATTGGATATAAATTTTAAAATTTAAGTCAACTGAAATAAAATAAAAAATAAAACTTCAGTTCCTGAGTTGTACTAGCCACATTTCAAGTGCTCAGTAGCTATGTGCAGCTAGTGGATACTGTCATGAATAGCACAGGTCCGGATTGTGGAACCACCTGGGCATAACTTTATAGTGTGCTTAACCGGTCGTTAAATCATTCCTCGAACATTTACTGAATACCTGCCCGCACAAAGTGTTATCAAAATTCGATGAAAAAGAGCATGCTTGGGCGGTAGGAGCCCCTGGGATGGGGGGAGTCAGAGAGAAAGGACACTTTTTCTCCCACCCTCTCTGCACGTGACTCAAGAAGAAGATGGGGGACGAGGCCTAGGTAGACACCGTCTGCTGCAGGAAAGGTAGAGAGGCCATGGATTCAGAGTTGGGTGTTCGTGGCTCACCCAGCACAACAGGTCGCTCCACAGTTGCTTACAGCAGCATCCACTCTGGCAGGGGATTATAGACGAGGGATTTTATTCTGAAGGATAAAGTCATTGGAGGGCCGAGAAATAGGACTGAGGTAAGGTTTCTAGGAATGATCCCCTAAACCGTGCTGTAGGACCATCCCACGGGGGGAGACTGGCATTGCTGTGGGTGCTACGACTGAGCACTAGGTAGCAGCCACTTCTACCAGCACCACCGCCGCTTCTGAGCTGGGAGTCAGACCTTACCACCACCCCTGAAGGCTGGGCTTCTGCTGCTGTTCATGTCAGTACATGTGGAAGCTCCACGTGCTCCTCGCTTCTTTGCGCTACCCTTTTCCACATCAGATCTCAAGTGGGGACATCAAGACTGGCAGAGCTCAGATCATTTGCTGAATCCTAGCTGCAAAGGAGTCTGGAAATTTGAATTCTGACTTTCCTATTGGAGAGATGGGATTCATTACAAGCAGATATTCCCAAATGTGGAAGAAAGCTACCCGAAAGGCGATGGGCAGCCATGAATACAACAGATATCCACTATGGTGTGGTTAATGCTATGGTTCCAGGCAGCAAACTCTCTTTATGAGAAGAGTCACAGTGCCAGTGTGAGTCTGTTGACCTTAAGGGCCTTCTCAATAAAGCATGACTACACACATCCCTCAGGATGGCTTTCATGCCCAAATTTGATTCTGTGGTCTAGCATCAGACCTTGACGCGTTTCATGAGTATGCCACCAAAGCTCACCAACAGTGGCAAATTGATTTATTCCATACCTTCTATAGCCCCACATGCCGTCCTGTAACTGCAGAGGCTGAAAATTGAACATGTGTTTCCCAGACACTTTGGCAGATGGAGATCCAGGGATGGGGTACGTTTAGGTTTTGCCAATTAGCTGAACTCATGCAGGGCTTTGATTTGCCATTGGATAATGTTGGGAGTTGAATAGAACATGGGGATGGTGGTTATACTGAGGCACCGAGGGGCTCCAGGACCCACCTGTTGTGGCAGCTGCTGGTAGATTTGGTAGATTCCTCAGTGGCCTGGTTCTCTGGTGTGGTGTGGGGCATCAATACTGGAAGTCATTCAGCTCTTCCAAGGATTCTGTGGACTATCTAGACTCTGTAATACATCGTTTTGTGCTTAAACTAGCTAGAGGGAGACTCTATAGTGTACAATTAAGACCCCTATCTAACGTGCCGATGATCCTGTCTCTGGAAAGACTGTCCTTCATTCGGTGATTACACCCTTCCTTCTTTGCTGATGTCAAAGAGTCTATTATCTCATGAGAGAGTAGTAATAGAGATGATAGTTTTATGAAAATGTCCTTACTTGGAAAAATAAAAAGGTAGCAATCCTTTGTTGATTTTTCCTTTCCCTATTTAAAAAACAAAACAAAAAAATTTATTGGTCTTTGAAATACAAAAGCTTTGTAATACTCTTTTATGAGAACTGTCATCCTTATTCATCCTTTTTAGAGCCTTACACAGGTATGTTTATTCATCTACTTAATACGTATTTGACTAGTTATTATGTGCTTTGAATCATGGTGGCCCCTCATTTATTTGCCTATTTGTAGTTAATCTTCCTTATACTGGCCTTATTCTAGCCTATGCTAAGTTCTTGATGGTAGAAATGTATGGCTCTTGGCCCCAAAAAAGC